CATCAATTCACGAGGGACCCACACCAAAGCGGTCTCTATCAGCGCTTTTGTTCGTATAATCACATAAACTATGTCTAGACTTCTAATAAGTGAGAATATACATTGTAGGACATTAGTATGCTTAAGTCTGAAACGTATGAGACGATAAATGCAATTACAAGTCGTGCTCCAGTATAATCGGTCGTGCTGAAACTCATCCAGTGAGAAACGTTCCGCGGTGTCAAAAATAAAGTGCGATTAAAATGCGTTAAATTTTTTAACGCGTTAAATTTTGTGTATTATTAAAATGGGCGCTCAAAATAACAGGAATTTGATTGGGAGGCGTATTATCACATACTATGATTTTTCTTACATATAGTAGTTCTACTAGAAAGATAAGAAACCACCTGTCATCCAACAGGACGGATGTTCACATGATAACAAACAATGACATTTGATATGAGTAAGCTATATAGAAAGAAAGCTGGCACAATCAACTACCTATGTGGATGACAATAGAGAGAGAACAGTCATTTGACGAGGCCGGCCACCAGTCTTGGCTGCTGATTGAAAGGTAAAGCTGCAAGATTTTGACCTGGCAGACCAATCAATAGGAATGACTGCAGAATAGCAATGAACGACTGCAGATACAATGAACGACTGCAGATACAATGAAACGAAAGGCCACAGTGTGGTCAGAGCCAGATATGTCACCATTTAAGAAGAAGAGAAGTTGAAACGATAGAAGCACCTATAGAATTGTACTCAAACAATGGGAACGTTTTGCCATTAGTTCTGGTATGCAGTCCCTATGTGCCGTACAGTAGACTTCAATGATGCACAGCCCATATGGGGAGAATGAATGACAATAGTATAAAAAACTGGGAATGGAAATTAAATAAGAGGATTGGGCTCTGTCTGTGTTGGCTGCCCTTCCCCTCCTTTGCAGCCCCAGAGAAACATGCATGCGGGAAACTGGCGAAGGACTGATTTTCTCTCTCAGCTTTAGCCATGAATGATATATTTATCTGCCTTTTTTTCCCACTTGCTTCTCTCCTATGCACACACACACACACAACCCCTCCCCCACACACACATACACCACACACACACCACAACACACACACACACACACACACACACACACACACACACACACACACACACACACACACACACACACACACACACACACACACACACACACACACACACACACTGGCAGCCGTATGACTGCCGTAGCTAACCCATAGTGATCCAGAGAGAATCAAGGATGATTGGAAAGATGGAACATTTCAAGGGCGATCCGTGGAAGAGGAGCATGCGGCTGCAGCTTGTCAGCCCTGTTCATACAGAGAAAAAGGCTCGTGTGGAATAAGTGGAAATAAATAAAGAAGAAGCGAAGAAAAGATAATGGCTAAGGGTTAGAAAAACACCTACTGGCGCATGCTTTCATATTGTTTTTGGAAGAAGATGTTTTATAGATGACCACTCTCAGGTGGGAATTGGCAGGAGCTTATATACAATAATGGTGGTGCAGATGGGTACGCTGCACCTGCTAACTCCCATGCACACACATTCTGGATAAAAGGGACATAAATAGGTGTTGGTGATGTTGGCTAAGAATTGACTTTACCTTGAGATGTCTATAAGGAGCAGCGAAGAGCGAGGCTGAGGGACATGTGGTAGAAATGCAGCACGGAAGACAGATTGGAAAAGATGGAGTGGGAGACAAAGAGAGTGTGAGAGCAAATGTGTGAGAGACAGAGTGGGAGATGATGGCCACAGCACAGAGGAAATATGCTCCCATCATAAGGGCAACATTGAAGAGTGCCTAGGGGGCAATTCCTCTATCTATCTCTCCTAGTCTCCTCCTCCTCTTGCCTTGTTTTCCAATCTCTTATCATTCCCATTCCTGCTTTTTCCACCCTCCTCCTATCTCCCATCCTCTTACAGCACATTTGAGCAGAAACGATTGTCCATCAGGCCGGGGTTAAACTTGTTCAACGTCTAAAGTTAACAAGATGGTCAGCAGATTATTTTATAAAATCACAATAGATTCAAGTTCATGTTATGAAACTTTAATTTTGTGTGTGGTGGCGGCACTCAATATGAACAAAAATAGGAAATAAACCCAATAACTATTCAAGAGCACCATGCCTTCAAGGTAACACCAATATGATTTGCAAACAGATACAGAAAGCAGCTACGAAAACATCAAGTCTTCCGACATAAACAACACATTAGGTTTGGTTTCCTTGCCTTTACAAATAGCCATATGGTCTTTGCTCTCGTCACCATCAAGCCACCTCTGTGTGAGTTTGTAAAGATTAAGACGGGGTGTTAGGTACCAAAAACTTGTTTAAGGCTTTAAACAAGTTTAGGCATCCACTATGTTTAATGTATAACATGTTTCACAAACTAATAAATGTATGGAAAATGGGAAACAAACTGAGACTATATGGCCATATTTATTACTTTATGATTATTGGGTCATTCCTCTCCAGCATAGCAAAATAATCAATACAATTAAAACAACAAGGACTGTGACAAGC